TTTATACTCTTAATCTTACGACTTTATTCTCGTAATCTTACGACTTTATTCTCGTAATCTTACGACTTTATTCTCGTAATCTCACGACTTTATTCTTGTAATCTAATGACTTTATTTTTGTAATTTTTGAACAATTGTCGTTGCGAAATTATTCTCGTAATATCTCGACTTTATTCTCGGAATCTTACAAATTTATTCTCGTGATTTTATGACTTTATTCTCATAATTTTACGACACCATTCTCGTTATTTAGACTTAATTCTCGTCATTTTACGACTTTATTCTCGTAATCTTACGACTTTATTCTTGTAATTTTGCGACTTTTTACTCGTAATCTTACAACTTCTCGTAATCTTACGACTTTATTCTGATAATTTTATGACCTTATTCTCGTAATTTTCCGACTTTATCCTCGTAATCTTAAGACTTTATTCTCGTAATTTTACGCTTTTATTCTTGTAATCTTGCGACTTTATTCTCGTAATTTTAAGACTTCATTCTCGTAATTTTACGACTTTATTCTCTTAATTTTACGAGTTTATTTTCGTAATCTTACAACATTAGTCTTGTAATCTTACACCTTTATTTTCATAATTTTACGAATTTATTCTCGTAATTTTACAAATTTATTCTCGTAATTTACGATTTTATTCAGATAATCCTATGACTGTACTCGCGTAATTTTATAACAGTTCTCGGTATCACTTTATTCTCATAATTTTACGACACCATTCTATTAATTTTACGACTTTATTCTCATAATTTTTTAAGAATTCTCGTTGCGACCTTATTCTCGTAATTTTACCACTTAATTCTCGTAATTTTTTAACAATTCTCGCTGCGACTTTATATAGAAGAAAAAAATCTCTAGCCTGGCCGTAATAGTCTGTTGTAAATAAAGATTAAATCAAGAATTAAGAAAAGTTAAATTAAAGTTAATTTATTTATCTTTATTAATTGTTATTTTGTTATACTTTGAATTTTGGACGTCGATCATTTGTACAAAAAATATGTATTATTTTCAAAAAGCAATAAAACATAAAAAAATGAATTGAAAACAGTAATTTTTTTTTTGGACTTTTTTTAAACCTTAAATCTGATTGAAATGTCTATACTTAATTTGTGAGGCCTAATCATAATTTTCCAATCTTTATGTTTGTAATCAATGGATGAAATTAATCTCTACATTTTAAAAGCTATAATTAGGTTTTAAACCTTTTATATTTATGTGTAAAACTTAATGAGGTCTAAAGATTTAGATATGTTTTCAAACATATCTTTCTTTTTCAACCTATACAGGAAAAGCTTTGTACAAAAGCATAAAAGCTTCTTACTGTATACTAAACTAACAAGATGAACAAACTGCCACAACGACAGCAACAAAAACCCCAAGAAAAAAAAAAAAAAAGTCAATAAATAAACCAAAATCAGGAAAACTTGTAATAAAGATTTAGACTTTATTCTTATAGCACAATTTACATGAATTAAACAATTGAAAATAAAAGCAAATAAATATAAAAGCAGGTAATAAAACACATAGAACAATTGAATCACAACCTTAATCTAATAATGCCTCAGTTAACACTTTAACAGTCAAATGCAGCGCTAAACAAATTGGTTTTTCACTTTGATTTGGAAGAAGTCAGATTTATAAAAAAGAACTTTATAAATAATTTTCAAAATAAATGACTGAAAAAAAATTAGGCTTTTTTTGTCTGATTATAATTTCAAATCAATTTTAAGTTTTTGTCAGAATCTAAAATGAATTTATTCCATATTTTTTGGTTCCTATTTGAGATTAATCTCGCATGAATAAGAATGTATCCTCAGACAGATGGGTCTGGTTTGTTCTCAGAGACGAGCCCCGATCGGATCGGTCCATTCGCATGTGCAGAATCGGGGTTCATGATTTAGGGTTCCAAACGTCTCAAAGATCCTGAAACGAGTCAGATGAAGGAACAGAATCCGGTTCCTCCTTAAAGAGGGACGGAGATGAGCTCTGAGTGTCGGAGGTCGGAAGGACTCTTAATCTTTAGGTTTCTCTGTCAGATTAAAGTCCGGACTTTGACTGGGCCGCTCCAGAACTCCGGAGGAGCCTCCAATCCAGGTCGGTTCTGTTTGACAACATGTGGTAAAAGGGATTCTAAGGAAGCCTGAAGGAGTGTGATTGGATCAGAACCAAGTTGTAGCTTCAAATCCAGATGATTTCAAACAGTTTAAAGAATTTTTTTCATTTTTTTGAAACCTGTTAATTAATTCTGCTCCCTCAGAACCAGAGGAAAATAGTTCTGACGACACTAAGTTCTGGTTTGGGGTTAATGATGGATTTCTATTCTTAAAGTGATGCTAAGTTCAGAGGTAAACAATGACCCGGTTCCGTAGTTACTCCTTCAAGTAGGGACCTGTCTGCCTCACACCTGAAGGTTCTAAAGATCCGATCTGAAAACCTGGAGCTAATCTGCAGCGGTAAGCCGAGTCCAGCGGGTCGGGGGTTAAAGGCTTTCCTGGAAATCTTCTTCTGTGGAAACCCCAGAGTTCCTGGAAAACGTTCTGACCCGTGTAAACCCAGCTGGCGGAACCATTAGTTAGGAGATGATCCCAAGTTTTCTGCTGGAGAGCTTCTGCTAATCATTAAGGAGTGGTTCTGGTTCTGGATGATCAATGAAATAAAAAGTTCCATGTTTCATTAAAAAGCTCCTGATCAACATTTTATTTATTTTTACCATAAAACGGATCAGATCTGTTCTAGTTTCCCCAAACTGGGGGATCTGGGTCACATCCATCTGCTGCCAGATCCAGGAACAGAACCACAGATCTGATTCCCTCACACAGAACATTCAGCGGGACTGAAAGGTTCAGAGAGTGAATAGGATTAACTGGGATCATGTGAGGAGCACGCTCCGAACATCCTGCTGCTGCTGCTGGTTCCTGGAAAACAGGAGGAAGAGGAAGATTGGAACCAAATCAAACATCTGAACTGGATCTCCAGAATCCCATCAGAACCAGTCAGCTGCTTCCCAGGAAAACTGGGCTCCAGCTCCCACCAAGTTAGCAGGAATTCTGCCTTCCAGTCTCCCTCCTGTTTGCTGAAGCTGACCCACTTTTCCTGGGGTTTCCTAAACATTAGAGTGAAACTCCCAGGAAAAGCTTCATTAGGAACCTCGTCCTGTTGCTCCATCTCACCGGGCTTTTCGAACTGATGGTAGAACCACCAGTCTCCTCCAGCCGATGATCCAGATGTTTCCCTAAGGCTGGGATTCCTAAAGAGGCGCTCCGGAGCAGAAGGAACCGGTTTGTTTGAGGAATGAAAGCAGGAATGTTAGAAGAAGATCTGAGGAAAAACAAAACAAAGACACGTTTTCTCTGCTTTAAAGGAAAAGGCCGCTCATATTCAGAATACAAATTTGAAAGTACTTTAAATATGAAATTATTCCATCCTGTTCAATAAATGATAAGTGTTTT